CATTCGTTTATTAACTCTCTCGATTTTTCCTTTATTAATTTGATAATTAATTAATTTCGTGTACATTCCTCCCTTTCCCCCCCTTCCTCCCCTTCCCTCCCTTCCTACCTCCCCTCTCCCCCCCCTTCCCCTTCTCCCTTCCCCCCTTCCCCCCTTCCCCCTTCCCCCCTTCCTCCCTTCCCTCCCCTTCCTACGTCCCCTCCCCTCTCCCTTCCCTTCCCCTCCTCCCTTCCCTCCCCTTCCCCCCTTCCTCCCCTTCCCTCCTCCCTACCTCCCTTCTCCCCTCGCCTCCCTTCCTTCCTTCTCCCCCCCTCCCTCCCCCCTTCCCCCCCCTTCCTCCTTCCTACCCCCTTCCTCCCCCCCTCCCCCTTCCCTCCCTTCTCCTCCCCTCTCCCTCCCTCCTTCCCCCTTCCCTCCCTTCCCTCCCTTCCCTCCTTCCTCCCTTCCCTACCTCCTCCCCTCTCCCCTCCCTCCCTTCCCGCCTTCTCCCTTCCCTCCCTTCCCCCTTCCCCTCCCTTCCCCCCCTTCTCCCCCCTCCCTTCTACCCTCCCCTCTCCCCTCCTCCCTTCCCGCCTTCTCCCCTTCTCCTTCCCCCCCTTCCTCCCTTTCCCCCCTTCCTCCCTTCCCTCCCTTCCTCCCCTTCGTGTACCCATTAATTTCACATATTCTAGATCTCTTAGATTCGCGCCGAAATCGCGAATAAAAGCGATATTAACTTTTTTTTTTGAAAACTTTAGTTCCGCTCAAATCGAAAATAAAAAAAAACGAACATTAGATACAGGAAAAAAAAATCCCGCCAAAATTACGGATAAAAACGACCATTAAAAGTAAAAATCACAAATAAGAACGACAAATATATAGATATAAAGATAAGTAATAGTAAGAATAATAATAATAATAATAATGATAATATAATATAATAATATATAATAATTAATAATAATAATAATAATAAATAATAATAATAATAATAATATAATAATAATAATGATAATAATAATAACAATGATAATAATAATAATGATAATAATAATAATAATAATAATAATAATAATAATAATAATAATAATAATAATAATAATAATAATATAATAATATAATAATAATAATAAAATAATAATAATAAAATATAATAATACTACTACTACTATATAATGATAATAATAACAATATAATAATAATAATAATAATAATAATAATAATAATAAATAATAATAATAATAATAATAATATATATAATTAATAATAACAACAACAATAATATTATTAATAATAAAATTAATTATAATAATAATGATAATAACAAAAAATAATAATGACAAAAGCAACGATAATAATAAAACAATTAATCAACGATGATAATAATAACAATAAATAAAAAGAGAAAATACGTTTGAATGACAATTTAAAAAAAGTTAACGGTTTTTTACAGATGATCTTGTTGTATGTTAAATTGACCTTTCTTGAACTCGCTTTTTAAGAGATTCGCGTCTCGAAAGAGGTCAGGTCAGGTCACGAACTCGACGGAGAGAGACCACCAACAAGCAGGTCGTCTCGTACTCACTATAGAGGTCAAGTCATGGACTTTTTGTAAGCAAGTTCAAATAAATAGGTCACGTCGGATGAGTCGGGTCATGTCAAATAGGTCAGGTCACGTGGGATGAGTCGGGTCATGTCAAATAGGTCAGGCACATGGGTGAGTCGGGTCATGCAAATAGGTCAGGTCACGTGGGATGTGTCGGGTCATGTCAAATAAATAGATCACGTGGGATGAGTCGGGTCATGTCAAATAGGTCAGGTCACGTGGGATGAGTCGGGTCATGTCAAATAAATAGGTCACGTGGGATGAGTCGGATCATGTCAAATAGGTCAGGTCACGTGGGATGAGTCGGGTCATGTCAAATAGGTCAGGTCACGTGGGATGAGTCGGGTCATGTCAAATAGGTCAAGTCATGTGGGATGAGTCGGGTCATGGGTCAAATAGGGTCACGTGGGATGAGTCGGGTCATGGGTCGGGTCATGGTGATGTGTCGAATCATGTCAAATAAATAGGTCACGTGGGAAGGGTCGGGTCACGTCGAATGGGTCATGTCACATCAACAGAAGGTCGAGATGGCGGATGACGAAAAGGAACAGAGAGAGAGAGAAGAGAAGAGAGAGAGAGAGAGAGAGAGAGAGAGAGAGAGAGAGAGAGAGAGAGAAGAGAGAGAGAGAGAGAGAGAGAGAGAGAGAAGAGGAGAGAGAGAGGAGAGAGATAGATAGATAGAGAAAGAGAGAGAGAGAGAAGACAATGGAAGATGACATGAGGAGATCAACAAGAGAAGAAGAGAATAGAAATAAGTAAAAGGAGAAGAGAAACAGAAAACAAGAGGAGAAGTGAGGATAAAAGAGAATAGGAATGAGAAGAAAATATCGAGAAATTGGGAGAAAATGAGAAAAAATCGAGAGGAAGAGGAAATGAGGAGGGAAGAAGAAAATAGAATAGGAGAGACGAGAGGAA